TGCTCACCTAACATACCCCCTCTGTCCGCAAGAATAGGAACGTCCAAACCAACTAAGATGAGTCTATGGTGGTGCCGAGTGGGTTTGGCGATCACAGAGAAACTAGTTTGACTCCCCCTCTGTAATCAGACTCCTTGATTCGCTTGTTTCCCATATGAGCAAGAGATACGAGGGAAACAAGCAGGGCTCCGACCGGAAAGGGTATGTGTGGACCGTATCTTCACTCATCCTCAGGTGCAACAGCAATAGCGCACATGAAGGCGAGCTATAACCTTGGTGCTCCTCTACTTCAATTGTACGTCCACTTCTGTGACCGGTTATTTCCTCTTAGAATTCAAGGCAATTTCGGATTGCTGCAATTTGGGAATGTGCATCATCTCCGAAGGTAGTGTGGTGATCGAAGCTGACATACACATCTCCAAAGCTCGACTTTCTTTTGCGATCTAATGCGATTTGTGTATTGAAAGAGGCATATCGGTGGATCTCAAAGGACTGCAGACTACAGGCTGTATATTAGATGCTACATTGTCGTACGACTGCAAGACATGACCACTCAGGGTGCAGGATATAAGATCTTCATATCTTCGATAACCAATGTCTGGAAAGTGTGGCTGGAATCGGTTGAAATGAGCTAACTGGCCACGCAATCAAGGAAACGAGTCTCTATATTTGGTTAGAACTAATAACGTCTGTTATATCTGCTGATTCGTCAATCTGTGGTATTTGCTGCTGACCCGCTGCAATGCCTAGTGTCGGAGAGAAAAGACTCACAGAAGGGAACACAACAGCTGTATTCCGAACAAGCGAGTGAGTGAGAGTGCGAGTGCGAGAGCAAAAGTTACAACGGCCCCAAGCTATTTAAAGGGGACTTTCTGATATTGATCCAGGCTGTCTGATAGGCGTTAGTGAACACCCATCAACACCGCTCGTGCCTCTGTGAAAAGCCTGAATGCTGATCACATTCGGTCGTGCTTCTGTGGCGCGCAAGAACACTCATCAGGTTTTGCTGAATTGATTGAATGATTGACTGGTCTGGATGCTTGCCGGCTTTCCTGATGAGTTTTTGGTGGAGCAGTAGGTTCCGGGCGTTCTGAGGTTGCTTTCAGGAATCTGACCTTCCTGATAACGTCGGAATGGGCTGATCAGAAGACGGATTGTTGGCTATTTGGACTGTACTTTGCTCAAACAGTGCACCCAGCAATGCAAATTAAGTTGGCTGGGTCATCCGTTACGTATGTAGGCCTACCTCCTGCGTTTTAATTCGTGTCTACTCCGGAGTGTTACAAGCCTGGCGGTGAACCAAGAGAGATATATAGTTGACTTGAGATCTGTCCCGGTGTGCCCTCAGTGTTCTCGTGTCAGACTACACATCTCACATCCCAACTAGTTTCAACTGCTGACCATCAAAAATAAACAAAATAATCAGGGTGCGAACGTTTCAGGTGCAATCCAATCAAGATGATATCATCAATGCGCTGACGGTGTATTGTAACTTATTGTGGAATGCATGTGTAAAATAAGAAATAGTTCAGTGAAATACACTCATTTGCAAGCAAATTTGGTTTTGCGGGAGACTCACCTGGAACCCAGCTGAATCTTTTGTTTACAATGATTCTAAGCAACCAAATATGCCGCACCAGGTCGCCGCATGTTTCGGTTGGTACGATATTCAGATATCGCGATACATATATAGACGCAATATATTACTCTTAAGATTCCTGAAAATTCTTCCACAGCCCGCGACCATAAAAACATCATAAACGTGGGATTCAGCTGGGCTCCAGGTGAGCCTCTCACAAGACAAAATCTGTTTGCAAATCAGTGTATTTCGCCAATTTCGTGCAATTTCGGTTTGATTAGAACATAAGGTTGAGGGAAAACCGAGGACCGTACCCATTTGATGAGCCCTATCAAGGGCGAAACCGGTCGTGGGCTGTCTGAGAATTTTCAGCAACCTTATAAGTAGTATGTTACGTCTATAAGAAACATTTCGTATTCAAAGCATCTGTCGATGTTTCGAAGGTGGAACGGTGAGGCACCGCCGCAACCGTTGTATAATTAGTCTCGTGGATATACCCAAATACCGGAGTGATGCGACGGAAAGCTAGCCATTAGACGATGCAAACTGTGCTCATGACAAATAAGAAAAGGTTCCACTAATGTATTTCCGATGAAGGTATCGCTTTGCATATCAAACGACAATTAATGTATGTTTTGCATCATTTAACCTGTAGTTTAAGCTTTTTTGTTAGGCTTTTCTCCCCTCCCATCCGTCGGTAGCTTGCTCCTGTTTTTCCCCACTGCACTCATCTTTCAGCGGCGTGCCCTCGCAGGTCTTTACGATGTTTGCATCACACTTGATTGCTGAGCAACAATTTAAAACGTTTGAAAACTTTCTCACGTTTTGAATTTGCATAACCTGTCGGAATGAGGGGAAACGGTCGATCACAGCAAAAAGCTTTTCACGTTCTAGACATCCGATCAGTAAATGGCATACATCCGGGCATTTCAGTTTCGCTACCCGCACGACACGCTGCCAAACCGTGCACGTAATACGGCGCCATCGATATTCGGCGAAAAACTCGAAATTAAACTTGGTAATGCAGTACAATTTTTCAAATTTTTTTCTGAAAGTTCCTTTCTGAATGAAGAAAGAATGGGTTAGCGAGCGAATTGCGCTTTAAAGGCTGCTTTTGTAACCCTTTCAAGAGCATGACATAAAAAGACCTCGCTAGAAACAGCAACCATATTTTATTCCAAAGTTACTTGTTTGATTCGTCAGAACATGTTTGTGCAAACTTGATAGAATAATACAAATCAAACCCACCCTATACATTTATGATTCTCTGTCACTGCCCGTTGACCGGTGAAATTGCGAATAAACAAACAAAAAAAGAAATTTGCAGAACAACAGAACAGTAGTTATAGATGTGAGTTGAATTTCCCGCCCGAGCAGGAAGTTTGCAGCTCATTTGCTTGAAAAACACAAAATGTGCCCACGCAAAAATCGCCTCTGCAAAAACGCCTAAGAAAAATTTGCCGGCTAGAGCTATCATTCAGTTATCCAGAATTCTTGCTAAGAAACGTTATATTCATCGGCTACTCACAAATCTAAATTAGGTAGTCATATTTAGCTTTTTTCGATGTTCTGATAGTGGTCAGTGACTGAAGTTTGAAGGAAGGTAAATGAGCAAGCGCAGCTGTAAAATTCAGCTGGAAGTTGACATGGCTTGTGGCCTTCCGGTAAAAAAACGATAATTAGTTGACTCAGCTACTGTCTGTTTTTTGTTATATCCCCTGTCAGTTGCCACAGGTGGCGAGATGGCTAAGTAGTAAGAACGCGGGGTTACCGACTGAAAGTTCCGTCATTCAAACCCGACCTGTGAATCCTGACTTCCCCTGTTTGGGCTTGGGTAACCTGGCAGTATCCCAGCCCCCGTGCCAGCTTCTGGTGACAGTCAGGCATCAAAAGAGTGCTACAGCTGAACGATTCAGCTTCTACCATCCGTCAATTTTCGAAGAATTCCGCCTGTCCTGAAACTTGGATTGGTACCTAGGAATCGAGGGTATTCAGATTACTGGGACTCCTTAGAGTCTGATCATAATCATCAGAGTCAATTAGGACACTTTAATTATTTACCGACCAAAACACTCGTTTCACAATTCAATAAAACTTCAACATACCAGATTGTTTCCAGCAGTCCGTTGGGTTACACGCGAAACCCCAAAAGGCAAAGCAAATCTACAAATGCGGTATTATAAGTACAATAATAAAATAACAAATATTTACAAACCTCAAAGCGTGGGACTACGCCGGCTTCTATACACCAATAATTTCTAACGGGATCCCAAAGACCACACCAGCTCAAGATAACGTGGCAACATGATAGCGAAACCCACTTGCTGACTTAAACACCACGTCTGATCATGAGGTCAAAGAACGGTTTATGTTCAGGTCAAAAACAAGAAAGGTAGCATAGGCGCAAACCTAAAATAACAAAAATGGGGAATCGCGTTGTAAAAGGAAGGAATCAACAACCATGAAGTCTTTAATTCAGCTTTACAAAAAGATATATCCCCTGGGGCAAAGCAGAATATGTAAACACTGAATGTAGGTCGTTTATGCATCATTGACGCCTGAGGGGAATTTCGCTTTTGTGCAAAAGGATTGGGAAAATTGTCAAGCAGATATCTATCCTTCAAATCGAATTGAGCCTAACAGCTGGATTTTTAACTACACGATCACTTTTGGGATCGTTGGTTAACCGTGGAGAAAGCACATTTGACCTCAAAAGGTTTGTTTATTCCAGCATTGTCAGTCATACATTTTAGCTGCAGCGAACGTTCGTACTGTCAGGCATGCTTCATCTACACCACAGTGCCAGATAAGAACTATCGCGAAAAAAAAAACAGAAAGAAGAATGCCCAAATTTTGAACTGCAAAGAGTCACGGTTGCTAATGAACAAAGCACCACAGCTCAAGAACATTGAAGAAGGTTCAGATAGGAAATTTGGGGGTGTAGCAAGCATTCTTCTTGGAAGATTGCTTCAAGTTGCTGACCATTTGGATGTCATCACTGAGCGGATGTTCACTCGCATAACACCTGGCAAGGAAAGGCGGAACACGTAAGCACTCCCATACATCACTCACCGTGTCGCACTCACAAAGTACTTTTGTGGACAGTTGGCGTTTTCCTGAAACTTCTGAGATTCTTGTGGTTTTAAAACAGCACTATGGATTAGCATCAATGCATAACAACAAATTTTACTTCGATTAGCCCCTGTCCAGTATTGTCACTATCAGTTGAACATGGTGAAACGGTGCGCGAAAATTTGCTATTTTACTGTAGAAGGAGCAACACAAATGTGTTCATTCGCTTTATTGGCTCGTCGCTTTAGGTGAAAGGGAGTTTTTTGCTTCGCATATTGGAAACTGCTAATCCACTATCCCATGCCTGTGGGCGTACACCGGGGTTCCACCGATAAGGCCTTCTCTATAGGTTTTCGAGAAATACACTCATTTGCAAATCAATTTAGTTTTCACCAGAGACTCAACTGAATCTCTCATTTATGATGTTCTACAACTGAATGTGCTGCACACAGGCCGTCTCATGTTTCAGTGAGTAGTCTCCTTCTCTATAGGTTCTTTGGAAGTGAATGCATGAAAAATGAACGGCACAGCTTTCGAAACGAGTCCGTTAGTTCATATGGGTCCTTAAACCTCTGCTCATTGTCATCATTGGGAACAGTACCTGCAATTTTTTTTGAAAAGTTTGGAACCAATCGGTAGTTGAATTGGTGCGCAACGTCTCGCTTTCGGTCTGAAACTTCGTCAGGTCAAGTGACTGGGTTAGGATGTCGGTGGATAGTTTAGGCCGAAGGGAAATCAATCAGCAAAATCGTTTCTCACTGTCAACCCAGACCGGCGGGAAGTTCGATCCCACAAACGCAATAGACTCTATCTACTGAGCTCCAACCTACCGACTAAACTATGGACCAGAGCTATACGGCCTAATGGATTCAAAAATCATTCTTGTCGTTGCTTAGCCTGAGGGACTTCAAAAATTGAACCAGGAGTTGATGTCTTCCTTATACTCAAATGTTTTTGTGTAAACTGTTATAAAAATATAGGAGATTTTAAAGATCCAAAAGTGAGATATCTAAGGACGTATAGTGAATAAAAAAGTATAACGGTTTGACGACATTAACAAACTGATATTGCTACCTGAAACTGTTTGAATAGCCTCTACTTTGCACAGCAACACAATGGATAGGTTAAAAATCGCACCGCTATTTCAGTACAACGTATTGTTGTTCTCACGTCGAACTTGGCATGCGATACGCTGAGTAAAATGACGATTAGTGCCTTGAGTGATACAATGGATTCGTGATGAATCAGGTTGAGAGTTGCACTTTTTTCCAGATCGAAACCCATTGAGGTTCAACATATTGTTACATCATTAGGCGAAACTCTCCAGCACAAATCTTATGCGAACAGGCTAATTAACTGGTCTGTGATGGATTAGAAAGTAATTAGGTTGAAAAGGAACAATACAACCTCTTGATGAGCATATACGCCCATTTTTTCCATCTTTAATGAGCCCTAGTTCAGCTAAAACGAGTTGCCCAGAGGAAGCGAAGTATCTCGAATGAGTAAAGAACGACCCATGCTATTACAAATGGCGACATTTACAAAATAGCCCAAAGTGAACTTACAAATGTTGTTGCGTTCCGAGTGGCCTACAGGAACAAAATATTGGTCCAACAAATGTTGGAAACCAGGTTGCACAACAACCTCAAACTGAACAGCGATGGCAGCAATGAGACTTTGTTGTTTGTTCTTACCACGATAGAGTAGATTGCACTCGACATTTCCAATGGCAATCAGGCTTGAGAAATGACGAGCGGAGAACTGTGTGCCTAAATATCAATGCACAAGTGAGCAATTCAGGCTGTCAAGTGTTGACGCGACGAGGGTTCCCAGTAATTGATGTGAAACACACAGCAACGGAAAAACAATAGGGAAACGTCTAACGCAACCACTCGTTCATTATGATACGTAAATCTCTACTGACAGTTGGTTTATTGAATATGTTTTGCTACACTATTCGCTTATGGAGATTTGGGCTATATGCGAATGCCACAAAAGAAAGTAAGTTGTTCGCGAATTCATGTATCACTGTCGTGACGTTTTTACAGGCAAATTTGATCATCACATTCCAAATTTCACTGGTGAAGGACACCATGCGGTAAAACTCAAATATGTATTGTGTAACGACATCCAGGGTGAGTTTGAAAATAAACATAACGGGACTTATAGAATGTTTTCAAAGACATAACACAGGGAGACAAATCGATCAGTTATAGGGCCCTTTCTCGGTGCCTAGCTGCCATGCCAACTGAAAGAGGTCTGAGGTCTGAAATACTCTCGTCTTGCCCAAGCCTAGACAAGAGTAGTGGAGATGCTCGGGTTGGATTCTAAACCAAAGATCTTTCGGCCAGCAAGTTGGCTGAGCTATCTCGAGCTCGTGCGAGGTAGGCAGTCCTTTGGCATACGAAGTAAATGTCCCAACCACCCAGCGTAACTTCTGAAGCACGATTAGTCCATCCATCGCAGTTCTTTCTTTCTGAAACCATCTGTTTTACTTCAACATCTCTAGTCCATTTATCTCATCAGACCCGTATCTATGTACGTCAGATCAAACCATCTCACCTCAATGATGACCCCAGCCGTTTGGTGTTGTCGATCGACTCTAAAGCAAATACTATTCACAAAAATTTTCAAGTAAACAAGCCTTCCAATAAGTAGTCAGTAAGTGTAGCTGGGTAAAAACCCGATGGTTTAAATATACGTGGTCTAAATGCAATTGTCGGCAGCGAACCGAGGTTTTTTTGGATATCGGGTTGGATGGGTTGTACGGTTACATTGCAATGCAAAATGTAAGATAACATCGAAGCTTTCGAAAATCATTTAACCGTCCCAAAATGCGTGTTTTAGTCGACAATGTAGTTGAATCGAAGAGGAATTTTGAACTACAAGGATCACGGAGCACGAAGCGGTACTGTGGATCATCGAAATCGGTTACTTGAACTTTCAGTGAGAAAGAAAAAAGAAAGCGTCCAGCTGTAGCACCCTTTCGGTGCCTAGCTGCCATGCCACCCGAAGGAAGCACGAGGGCTGGGACACCGCTAGGTTGCCCAAGCCTAGACAGGGGAAGTCGAGAGGCGGAGGTCGG